ATTTTAATTCATTAACTTCCTATCCTTTTCGAAGAAAATGCCCGTGTAGAAACGTATTTCTCATCGATGTCGTGGCGTTGTTGGTGGATGAAACATGGCATATAAGGTATCGATAGAACGGCAATTTTATAAGCTTTTGTGAGTATTATTTGTTTTTTATAACACCTCAAAAATATACTAGTTATGGCCGCATTTGTAGCCCCCTACAGTTTCGAACCACGTGTGTACATGCCCCTAGCCAAATAAATTGCACACGCTACATGTATACTTGTTATATGTCAGATTATTATTTTTTTTTATAACATTGTTTTTCTTAAATGCAAGGGGTATGAAAGTAATGATTTGACAAAGCAAGAGCTATAATAAGACTATCCCGGGTCCCGGTATACACTTGATCAGTGTTGATCAATGTTCATATGTACGAGTACACGTATGCAAATAATTCGATAGCTTTTGAAGATTTCAACATACATTTTTGTAACACGCATATTTGTAATAACCACTTTATATACAAAACAAAATTTCATTTTCTTATATGGTAATATGGACGTCGTAATAGATCTGACTGAATGCTTGACATGCCTGTTTCAAAAACGTTTCCTAAGTTATCTTAAGATATGCCTAAGTTATAACTTTAGAAGTTCCTAAGATTTATCACAGCTGTATCACGAAACAATCTTATCTAAAAAAAAAATTTATAAGTCATTTCTTAAGTTGTGCCTTTAAGGACTAATAAAATAACATTCCCGCTCTATATACAACTCTCAGTATGGTATATATTTTTAGATTCAAAAAGAAAGGGTGCGAGGATTAGGGATTGCCCCCACTTTTAAAGGATTTGGCCACAAGTATGCTTAACATTGCGAAGTGTTTTGCTAGATCTAAGCATTCACAGACACACCCTTTCAAGCCATCTTCTCTTCCGAGCACACGATATTTGTATTTTAATTTTTAAACATTGTTCTAGGCGTTATACATTTACTTTATTTTGTTCTTATAAGGTATCTACATGTAAATAAAATTTTAAAATGAATGCTTCGTAGCGAACACATGCGAGTTTATATTTTTCAAACAATCTTTGCCAATTACTACACTGCATGTACATGCTAGTTGTTTGTGCGGTGTAGATCAACAATGTATTTCAACATCGAGGTGCCCGCGGCTCTCTGTGGCCACGTGTATGTAAACGAGGACTGGACTACAACACTTAAAGACACAAAGCGGCAGAGACGGATGAAACTGTTTGCTATATTACAAAGACTTGAATTATAGTACATGTATATTTGAAGGAATTTTTATTTATGTTAATGTTTATTTAATTCTATAAATAATAAATGGACATTCACAAGAGTGGTGGTAAAAATAATATGTGCGTAGCATGCGTAGTAATTACAATTATTTACCGAAGCCCCCATTCAATTACAATTGCAGATGAATTAAAATACAACAACACGGGATAGAGCAATACTTTTTTTAAATGTATTGTTGCGTGAACAGACAAAAACAGCGATTAAAATTCAAAATGATTTTTATGCACCAGTGTTTGGAATTAAGATTATAAAAGATCGGTAAAGTAATCTTACTGATTCGATATAATTAAAAACATAACTTTCCATTAATTAATAGCTCTTTGCACAAAATTGACATTATACGCGATCACAAATACTAGCTTTGTTTATGGCCACAGGTGGCTAGTACACTGGTGACCTCGATCAACAGCGTGGGATTCGCGCGTTGGGTTACATAACTAAACATCGAGCTGAACATGGAGACCGTAATATGCATACAGCTAATGATCGTGAATTATTCAATGCATACAGTTTAAAATCACTTACAAAGTTTGTTGTAATAATAAACGTAGAAAGATAGATTTAATATTCTCCGCTTTTGAACACTATTAACCTAATTTAAAAAAGAAGAAAAGAAAGACTAGTTGTAATAAATAATTTAATAGTGAACCATAAACCACGTTTTAAACCTTATTAAAAAGAAAATTAACATTAAATACCGCAGGGTATATTATTGATAGCAAGTCTGTTTAAGTTATACACATGAAGAGGTCTAATTTCCTTGCCGAATGAAAAACGTTACCTGTTTACCTGGCCTGCTTTCTAATACGTATTACGCAATACCCATGGTATACTCGAACAAAACAACATTTTCATTAGATCAAAAAGGTGTAAAAGAACAATTTTGTTCCCAAGATCCAGATCGAAATATTTACCGTTTTTGAGTTATAAAGCAAAAACTTTTAAGGGCCCAAGATCCCTAATCATAGGGGCCAGCCCCTTTTAAATAGTATAATATGAAAGCCCTTGCAATTATGCGCAACTTTTGTTCTACATGTCTTAACAAAATATTTCTAGTTTTCAAGATATAAAGGAAAATATGTCAAATTTTTTGCTGTTTTCCGCGTTCTAACTTTTGACCCCTCTCTAGCGCCATTTTTAATGCAAAAATCAAAAAAAAAAACCGATGTGCACAACTTCAATGCTTCCTCTTTTCAATTTCAAAGGGTTTTGTGCTCCAATTATAACCATTTCTGAGCCTTTGTCTGGAAATGGGAGGCATGCAAAATTCAATCAAAGGGGAATAACTCGTGAACAGAAGGTAATTTCCGAATTGTATTACGGTATTCTGACAGTGTTTTGTAAAGTCTAAAAGCTCTGAAAATTTGAACAAAATCTGTTTAAAAATGAGGAAGATATGAAGCGTCAAAGTTGGCGTCTAGGAAAAAAAAAAAAAAAGAATAATCTTAATCATCACAATCAGTAGAAGGTCTTCCGTTGGAAACGGAAGACCTTAATAACTATTACTGATCGAAACATTAGAATTTTTTCTAATTTTAATTATAACTGCATTTCTGGGAAATTTTTGATCACGTGATCACGAAATTACAAAACCCAAACCTTCAATGTACAGTTGAATGATTAATGAAATACTTACTGGGACAGTTATGTGTGTTACAGGACACAGTGTTGGTCGATGATCCGCCACAATTGTTTCCGCCATGTGCGGGGGCAGGGTTGTTACAAGATCGCCTCCTAGTTTTGGTGCCGCCTGCACAAGACCTAGTACAAGATCCATAGCCGCCCCAGTTACCCCAATTTCCGTGAACTGTAACGAGTGGATTTAAATATACAGTTGAACTTCGGGATCTCGAAAACTGATATCTCGAATACTATGGATATGTCGAAGTATAATGAAGTCCCAACCACATATTCCTTAAGTATTTAACCCTGGATATCTAAGATATGCTGATACATGTATCTTGAAGTTGTTTATATGTTTAAATTTTGATAGATAAATATTAAAGAACTCAAGACAAAGCGAAGCATTCCCTCGCAAAAGAGTGTATCGATTGATTAATATACATTCCGTTATACGCACGAATACACCCACTTCAACACTCGCAAACATGTTATATATAGAGTACTACATGTACTTATCACCTACTTCGTTGCAAAAGGATAAGAAAATAATAATGAATGAAAATGTTATGAATGGTTTATGTATGTACAATATACTACATGTTATCCCAAGCTCTCTTGTAATACATTACTATATGGTACACTGATTCTACATAAAATTTCATACAAAAAATTTTCTTCTCACAAATTAAAGACGTCAGAAGACGTACACGTATGTGATGTGGAGAAATGGGTCTACACTATTGAAGGAAAAGATCTTTATCATGTCAAAAACTTAAAATTATCGCATCATGATGCACATCGTGATGAAGGTCTTCATCCAAAAAAGCAAATTCCACTTTCAAATAGCTTCCGGGATAAAATCTGTGGTTGGGGATTACCTGAGATGAATACACGCCCTTCCTCAAAAAGCAACAAACGTGTTACCCATCCACTGAACCACTGCCCATTGGGCAAGCTTACAACAATCATCGGAAATCTTTTAACTTAACTGCCGCAATTTAAACGTAACAGGTATCAGTACATGCAGTATAAATATTTCTCATACCTGGACAACTATGGGTATTACAAGATACAGTGTGGGTGGATGATCCGGCACAGTTCCGTCCACCGTGAGCGGGGGCGGGATTGTTACAAGACCTTCTCCTTGTTTTGGTACCACTCCCACAAGATCTGGTACAAGAGCCATAACCTCCCCAACTGCCCCAATTTCCGTTCACTGCAAGGATAAAGCGAGCGATATAAAAATGTGTTCACTAATTTTGTAATGTACCGAAAATTGTTAGTATGCACTTTTGAAATTCATTGACACGTTTCAAAAGAGTTGAAAAAATAATAAACAAAAGTACATGTATAAAACGTTTTTTTGGTCCTTACAGACGACCCAGGAAAATTATCAGGGGTAGATAAATTTTCAGATTCTGGTGTAGTGATAAAAGTACTACATTCTCTATCCAGACTAGTCGCTCCGCTAAGCTCTCATGTGGGAATGTAATGGGAACGACAACCCTAGATAGAAAATGGCGGATAAAATCACACATTTTTTTAATATTCCGCAAAATTGAATCCCCTTTTGCTACATGTATGATTGGAGCTACATAGGGCATTTTGAATCCAACGGATTATAGCATGATTTATGACACCTTTCAAATGTTTTCGTCTCTGATAAAAAATTGATAAGAGAACATCAAATAAACTGCATGATAACTATCCTCTTTCTGTAATTAAGATAACAAATGTAACTCACCTGCGCATGAATGCGTGTTACAACTTCGTGAACTGGAAGAGGATCCAGCACAGTTTGACCCTCCATTAGACGGGGCCGGGTTGTTACAAGACCTTCGACGGGTCTGAGTACCTGAACCACAAGACCTGGTACAACCGCCATAGGATCCCCACGATCCCCAGTTTCCGTTAACTCTCGGTGCTGTATGAAAAGAAAATTGTACAGTACTACAAATTAACAGAAGTGTACAAAATATTTAGGTCATTGAAGTAGTCAAGAAATGGTCGCCACCTTTGGAAGAGGGTTTGCATGTTATCGCGACAATACGCCTTATTGTACTTTACCTGGTTTTTCACACATAGTGTAGATACTGGTGTGTGTGCATGGGAGATCATTCCATCCATTTCTGTTGGTCAAAACGTGTATACAATGTTCGCCCCCAGAGTTGTTTGGTTCGCCTAAAGAAAATTTTCATTTTTAACAATGGAATATTGTGACCTTACATAGAAATTCCTTTCACATCTCAAGCACAGATGTTAAGACAATAAAGAGGAAAAAATCGTGTTGAGTAGTGCTTTGCAATAAGAATATATGAAAATGAGTAAATCATTTAAGCAAAGAAATAAATCTTTTCTATATTAGGTTGGACTTGGCTAAATACATATACACACACAATACATTCACGGAATGCAGTTTTAAAAAGTAGTGGAACTATTGGACAAGATAAACACACGATCCTTCAATGACAGCCGCTTTATTACAAAACTGAAATATTCATTTGCATAAATGTACGTATTTCAATTCAATTTCTATCTAATCGAACAAACCTCTGTTCCACTTGGTGTAGGACCAGGACCGGGTTCCGCTGGCAAAGATCCAATATCCTTCTTTATTTCCGTCAATACCACTGGTCCACACGCTGTTTCCTCCAATTAAGCCTTAAATATATTTGTTTGAAATATAATATATGTACAAGTATTCCTCTTACAGAAAATTATCGGGAAATATGATTTTTCAAAAATATGACGAGCTCTGAGTAATGCCATCAACTGTACAGAAAAGACAATGACCAAAAACAAGAATCGAAACATCAATGGACGAATAAATTTTAATCTAAAAGAAAAAAATTCTTGCGCACAGATAGAAAACGTAAGGTTATATACACTGTAAAACTGTATTGATAACTCTTTGCATCTCTAAGTAATTGCATTAAAAGTAAGCTCTTCAGTACATAACATGCTACGATAAATTTATATTATGCTGTTCAGAGTGAACAGTGAAAGTAGTTTGTCGTGTTTTACAGGTTTGTACGTTTGATAGATGCCTCAGGTGGAACGCAGTGTGATCGACCGAAGTCGATAACAAATTCTAAAGTTAATTTATACTACAAGTACATGTATAGCTTTTTCAAAAAGCTTTGCCGTCTTTAGCAACAACCTTAAACTGTGTAAACTGACATATACCTATCAGGCTGTATTATTTTTAGTAATGAAGATTGGCTTTGTACTTCTTACAGACATTAGCTCTACCATTTAAATGAAAGAAAAAAAATAAACACAAATTTCAATGTTTGCTTGCAGAAAAGGACGTTTTCTTAATCATGAAAATATAGAAAAACTTAATAACAGTTGCTTTAAAAAATCAAAATGTCAGTTTTCATTTAGTGCAATTTTCTTTCGTTCGTTTCGTCGATTTTTTTAAAGATAGAAAATCTTGAAAAATTGTTAAGTCGTACGAAAATTAGAATCCGCAGAAAATTATTTCCCTGGCCTAGAACAGCTTTTCAACCAATGGAATAATGAAAATTTTCACATCATGCATTTTCTACCAATCACACAAGAACACAAGAGAGGAAGTACACAGTCCGAAGACTGTAAATTACTTCAAATCTGTATATCGTCTTCCAAGGAATTCCAAAATTAAAAAAAAACAAACAAAATTTCTAAAGCCTAAGAAAAAAAATATATTACATGTATTTGTTTACTATTACATGCCAATAAAAAGTAAGGGCCTGCAGGAAGGATTCTTGTGTTTTGTTCGTTTGTTTTGAACAATTATATATTTTTTTGTATAATAAATACAAGGATTGAATTGGTATGTACGACATCACACATATTTTTGTACATTTATGTGTCTTCTGCGCGTTCACTTGATTTTATCTGATGGTATAATTATTAGGTACGGCACTTTACCAACCTTCTATGTAGCTTTGTTCTCCGCTATCGTCAATGCTAACAAGATTTGCTCCATTATTCTGACACGTTCTCAGGGCTGTGATCCAGTTTGCTCTCCCATACATCCTGTAGCATCTGCCGCTCCTTTGATGCCAACCGCTACCACAGGTGGATGTTCCATCTACAAATTAAGATAAAATCCATGAAAGCAAACACACGGTTAAAAAGATTAGAGTAGACGGACTGGTCACTAAATAACCAACGAACTAGATAAATAAATAAATAAATAAATAATTTAAAATAAATAAAAGAAAATCATTTAGTAGTTTATTAATTGATCAAAAAAAAAAAAAAAAAAGGTGGCAAGTAATCTCTTTTGTGTTTTCATTTGCAGTTTGCAGATATTATAAACCCTCAGACTTTTAAAACTTCATTCACAGGTATGTAGTTCTAAAGAAAAGCTCACGACTTACGATGAATTTCACAAACATAAGCCAGGGCTCTGTTACAGGGCAAGTCGTTCCATCCTCTACGATTCTCATAGATCTGTACACAATGTTCGCCCCCACAACAGTTATTAGGCTCACCTGAAAAAAAAATCGTTGGATTTCTCTCAGCAAATTTCGGTCATTTCCGTACTGTATTGTCCGTATTTGTATAAGTTATACCTTCATCATGTTCATCAGAATTTCGAAAATTGACCGAGGTTTGCAAAACGTTGAAATAGATTGACTGATTATGAAAAAAAAACTTGGTAAAAATCCGATTTAAAAAAAAAGAAAATAACTAAATATTTGCCGATCAATTGAAACACGAAGTAAAAAAAAAAGTAATGTACTGTTGTTTTTTTAAATTAATTATTTAAGCTGTGGATCTGTAAAAAAAAAAAAAAAATCAATGTTTTTTTTTTTTATTCAAACACGCTTCGTGATAACAACCTCTATGCCACTTTGTGTAGGACCACTTTCCGTATCCGCTGTACCACGCATACGCCCCCTCGTAGTTCCGGTCTGATCCGCTGCTCCAGACTGTTGTTCCACCAATAAGACCTTTAGAAATATTGATATCGGAATATTAATATATTTAGATTAAAACATTCACGGGGTAACTTGATAACAGAATGCTGAAGAAATCATTCTCTTGGTACACCCTTACTTTCGAAATACATGTATGTTATTGTTCGCGACTTGATTACTAGTGGGTCATGGTCTGACTCAAGTTCAATCCTCCCCCATTACAATTTAAAAATCATATTGTATTACAAAGCTATTCTCAATCTATTTTAAGCTATTGTTAACTGTTAAGTGAAAAAAATACACAGAAAAACCTTCCCTTCAAAATTTTATATAAATTTCCATACAGTGTGGTTCTAATTGTATGATTTTTTTTTCTTTCTTGCACTATTTTTTTTTTATATAAATTGTTTTTATCATTTGATTCATTTCTTTTGTCCTCTTTGGTCATATACATGTATTCAATTGGTAGATGTACGTGAAAATTGTACAGCTCATGTTGTAACGAATCATTCCTTAGAAATCCATTTCAGTTTCTAAAATTAATACTCCGAGCATCAAAATCACCTTCTACAAAGGAGTTTTCTCCGGAAGTCTCGATGCTGACGAGATTTGCTCCGTAGCGTTGGCAATCCCTGGCCGCCACTGACCACTCTTTCCTACTGGTGAAGAGCTTGTAACAGTTGTTGCCATACTTTGACCATCCTCCCGGACAGCTAGCATAAGAACAGCCTACAATATTGAGAAATCTTAAAATTAAAATCTTTGTACTTTATACACTGCATGTAATATGTTGACGGTGCGACCGTTGGGGCGAGCGCATTGTTCACTTCATTTTAAGATCCGCCTCTTCAAACCGCACGAGACATTTGGAACGTCTAGACTGTGACGTCACATGACGTCGTATGTTACCTGCATTTCCATAAACAAAGTTTAAAAAGTGCAAATATTTTAACAAAGAACGTTTAATTAATCTACTATCTGCATGCAATAGCCATTAATTAAGGTGAGTTTATTTTTTGTGAAATTTTAGTTGTTGTCACCGCGTGAACGACGTTAGCAGCGAGAACAAGAAGCGATGCATTGTGGGTCAGAATTACTGCGGAAAAAAATTCTATTGAATGAATGTGCAGTAGTCCGAATTTTCTCTTCGCCCAGGCGTTGTCGTTAGAGCTCGCAGTGACGAGCGGCGCTTCGCGCCGCTCGCTGCGCTCGCTATAATTCCGATTTAGCCTGCAGTTTGCAGGTTTTGTGTTTTTCTTTTCAATGTTGCGGATTTTTTTTCTTCCGTCTTCATAAAAAAGTAAATTGATTCACATTGACAACTTCATAATACTACATCTTTTGAATTTTTTTTTATCTAAATGAACCTTTTCCAGAAAAAAAAAAGTTTTTATTTCCATGTGTACATTTTCTTTTAGAGAAAAACTAAAATTGTTGATTTTTGTTGTTGTTGTTTTTTTTTTTTAATGAATGTTAACACTAGATCTTGTTGTGTAGATAAATGTTGTGTTTAACGATATACATGTATCTTTAAAAATCCTATTCTAATTTAAAGTTTGTAAATTACTACAGCGTTACATCAGAAAGATCAATACGGTTACCAAAACCTATGAATAATGATTTTTCTTAATTTCTAAGACAGAGAATTATTTATTTATCCCTATATTTAGATCAGTCACAGTTTGAAAGTGCATCAATTGTACGTGCAACTTCCAAACTTCTTTTGAAAAAAAGGAGGGGGGGGGGGGCTAAACCAAATATAATCTCTATAAAACTAATTTAAATTTTAATAAATTCATTAATGACAGCATCCTATAGTTCTATATGTATATATTTCTAACCTTTTTTTAACATCATTATTATAATCTTATCTGTTTCAATTAATTCCTACACCTTTTTTTTGCTTGTAAAACTCTCTTAACCGTGCCCCCCCCCCCTTCTCCCAACCCAGCTTGTTTAAATATTATTACCTGTACTTGAATTTTGCTTACTTACCAGCTAAAAGAAGCAAGCAAAGAAGTGCAAAAATGTTGTTCGATGACAGCTTTTGCTCAATCTGTGAAATAAAAGACAGTTAAATTCTATTTCTTCACTGTGTAAAATCCATGTACCAGCACTTTCATTCCCGCTTTATTTGATACACAAACGTATCAATTGAATTTGCAATTTTGGAAAATAAAAGCCATTTCAAGTTAATCACAAAGAAAATAATATCACAACAATTAAAAAAAACAAAACAAGAAATAAATAAATAAATAAATGAATAAATAAAATAGAAAAATATAAAAGATGATAAAAAACAACCTGAATTTGTTTTCATATTTGCTATTGTCCTCTAAAAGGAGAAGAATTTTAGAAACACAAAAGTTATTTTTTTCTGAGTATATATATTTTCAAAAATGTTTCATATATTTTATGAAATGGCTTCGATTAATTAAAACTTTTTTAAGAAATAGATATGAACAGAATTAAAGTGGCTCCGTTTTACAACTGTTACAAAAGTTTACTTTATAAAGTAAATTTCTTGAATTTTTATTCAATTGATCGAACTAATTTGAAAAAAATAGATTGAATTTAAATCGAAAGCCAATTAAAACTAAATTACTTAATTTTTTGAAAATTTTAAACTGCACCAGAAACCATCGTAACTGAAGAAGATAAAAAAAAATATGAAAAAAGGAACTAAAACATCAAATAATAATCACTGAACATTACCATGGCGACTGAGTAAACCGTGTCTCGCCAATCATGTGGATGCACACAACTCAAATGTTAAAGTTAATAATTAATCTTTATTTTAAATAAAAAAAATCGCATTTTATTAATCCAGCATGACCTAAATAAGAAGTACACAAACAGAAATAGATGTTAGATTAAGGTTATTCAGATATTAAAGATTTCTGAAACTTTATTATGTAAACAGTTAATCTAGACAAAGAAAATCGCCACAGTCAAACATTTATCCCTCGATCTAGAATTTATACCTACGACTAATCTTCTAAGGACAAAATTAATCCCATTTGTCCACTGAAATTTATAATTTTAACCCTCCCCCCTTTTCAACAGAAAAAAGTTTCGTTTCTTCAAAGTTTTTAGTATAAAGTTGGTTCGCATCAACTATGGTCAGTTAGCATGTTTCTTCTCACAATTAAATGAACACATAACTTTTATATATTTACATTCGTCAATGTCCCTATACCCCATATTGGTCTCATAGTTCATAAGTTATAGATTCAGTTGAAATTATATTTCACTACTATTGACATGAGATTCCATTATGGATACAATGATTGAAGCAAACACGTGCACACTTACACATGTAATATACTTAGTATTCATCATAGCCTTCTTTACATTAATTGTACATATATGTACATGAAGCTAAAAGGTATGTATAATCTTTTTTTTAAATAAGTGTTTTAGATCTTTGATAAATTAATACGATTAAGCAAAAAACTAGACCAACAAGTTAGTTCGATATATTTATGTCGTCTTACATGTAAAATAAGAACGGTGGGCTCTTAACATTCATTGACCGTCGAATAACAATTTAAATTAAAGATATTCTTAATATATGTGCATTTAATTCCTTATATACATATCTTCAGTATGGTACAGGGTGTCTTAGAATACATGATACTATTTTATCATTCATCGATTGATTTATTGTATGTTGTTTTACGTCCCATTCGAGGAATTTCACTGATACAGAGACGTCACCATATACCGGTGAAAGTTTTCAAATTTAGACCTGTACTCGGCACTCATGGCCATTGAGCAGTGAGGGTTCTTTATCTTGCCAACGCCTACCGTGACACTGGACCTCGGTTTTTAAGGTCTCATCCGAAAAACCAGTATTTTTACTTCTAGTGCCGGCCGCCTGGCAAAGGAACAGTCACTACCTATGTTTACGTCTTAGGTTTGACGCGGCTCGGCGAACGAGAATCGAACCCGGGCCTCTGGATCGCTTTGCGCCCTATCACTAGGCTACTGTAACCGGTCTATTCAATGAAATATTATGTAAAATACATGTATAATGTAATGGCTATTGAATTACAACAAATAGATTACAATGTATATATATTGAATATCCTGTCCAAGTTTTTTTCAAACAATTTGAAGGACTTTAAAAAGAAAACACAAAATGAGTTCACTTTGAAAAATACTTTGGTTTTTAAATGATGTCCTCTAAATGACGTACAGTCTGTCTACTAGAGATTGCACAAAATTCCATAAGACAGCAGTGCATGTTTCGAGATATTGATCTTGTGGATTTTCATCTGAAGTATATTGTTTAGATACATTATTAAATGATTCAGGTTTAGGTATCGTAACAGTAACTCAAGACTTGGTTTGATAATTACAGTTTCAAAATAAGGGTAGCTAGCTTCTTTGATAAATCCCATTTTGAATGGAATGTATCTTTTTTATTATTATTATTATTAATTTTTGATGTAACTTTGTGACATCACAATTCCAAATATGGGAAAAATTTTGTTGCTAAAAATTGTATTTCTTCAAAAATGAATGAGACATATATCAAAAAAATTCTTCAAGATTGTGTTTCTGGTGGTTATTTCAAATGGTGTCATATATTCTGGGACACCCTGAAAGTAAAAATTATGAAAGGAGTTCTGAAGTAAGAAATTAAAAGTAAGTTAATTAATTCTGCATTTACATGTTGGATGACTTGTTGTTTAAATTATTTTATTGTATATTGAAAACTTATAATTAAAATTTTTATGCTTTTGGCATTTCCCTAAAATATTAAAGAAAAATAATAAATGACCAGAAATAAGAGATGCTATGGGAATTAAGTCAAATGCATTAAAGTCCAATATCAATTTTTCTTTCCTTTAATTTTGTTTGTTTGTTTGCCGTTTAACGTCCCTTCGAGAATTTTCCACTTATATTGAGACGCCATCACTTGCCGGTGGAGGGATGCAAATTTAGACCTGTACTCTCCACTCACGGCCTTTGAGCAGTGAGGGATCTTTATCATGCCAGACCTACTGCGACACGGAACATCAGTTGATACGGTCTAATCCGAAAAACCGGTTTCCGTCACATATTGGATTCAAACCAAGGATCAACTCTTTACTCTGCGACTCTAAAGCAAACGCTCTGATCACTGTGCAACGCGGGCGACTCTTTCAACTGATACACACTTTACACTGTTGGGTAGATAATAATTATTCAAAACGGATTTATTTATTAATTTATTCATTTTTGCTAAATAAAGCTCAAGAAGTGGTTCATTTAAAATAATCAGGTTATATTAATTTTTCAACGATGGTTGCAACCATTATTCCCACATTAACAAAGAAAAACAATTCATTGTTTATATTTATGCATGTATAATCTATAAAGTAGGTTTAAGTTGTAAAATATTGTGTGACTGGTCTATACATCATGGACTGTTTCTCTGATGGAAGAGCCCACTGCTAAGAAATCTGTCATGTTAACGTGGCTTTGAAAACCCTGTTCTAACTAGTTTAGAAATAAAATGGAACATATTTGGTGGATGTGAATACATGTATAAAAAAGATAACAAACTACATTGTAATCGTATGTATAATTTCATATTTCAGTAGTAGATTCCAAAACATGATCGTTTTTTAGTATTCTCCTTCGTTTCCACTGACTACAATAGAGTGGCGATGATAGCAGTCACAATCGTCAGAGTCAAAGAGAACAGAATTGTTGTACCTGAAAGAAATCAACACATTTTTAATCACAGAAGGAAAGAATAAGAGTTACTTTCTGAAAAATTCAGTTCCTCTTTTACATTTTACTCTTATTTATCGCTATAAATTGTAACTGTGCGTTGAATCAAGATCCCTACAGTTAACTAATTTTAATTTATCTATTATTCTCGCCGTTCCCACAATAAACAATGGTACCACAAAGCGGAGCATCCCCTCGCAAAAGAGAACATCGATTTCATATGTAAGTTAGTAATTTCGTTACGCACCCACCCACTCGCACACACTCAAAAGCGCGTTATACCCCCTATAACGTCGTTGCGAGGGAATAACTAAGAACTGGGACCATGAAAAAATATTTCAAAAAATGTACACTGCATTGCATGATTTAGTGAGACACTTACTGGAGCTTTCAGCCATGCACGTGGCTAAGAGTGTAGCTGAACATCCGGCGTAGCCTTCTGTTTCGTCACTTCCGTCATCACAGTCATTGGAGCAGTCACACTTGAATGACTCTTGTATGCAGCTCATTGAACCAGTTTCACAGGTGAAATAACCAGATGGGCATATCTGAAAATGCATTGAATAATTTTAATCAATTTTTCTATAGGTACCTCATGCAAGATATTTATAGAGTTAATTTTGAATCTTCCTGAAAGAAAAAAAAACGATCGTTAAACAACGTTTTTTTTCTGAACCTGTGATATGTTTTTACGTTACAGACGACAAGCAAAATATTAATGAAAATCAAAGATAATGACCCTTTCCGAAGTTACGGCCATTTTTGCCATGTTCAACTCCCGTTAATCAAATGTTAATTTCCCGTAGACTTTGAATCTGCCGCCTTGTCAATACACTATAGTTGCTCTCGGGGGATCGTTTCAAAGCGGAAAGTTTTGGGAAAAAATGATCTAGTTTGAAGGCCAAGGTATTTAATATGTGTTTTGAGATGTAACGCAAAACATGATGACGATGATACCATGGGACAGACTGTATATGGTGAACCTTACACTAACAGGATAAGAACTCATGTTTGCTCACACAACTGTATTTATTAATTTTTTTTTACCTTATTCTGAATTTCAGATGTTCAAAAGTTCCTGAATGATTTGCGGGAATTCATAAATATTATTGAGAGGGACAAAAAAGGTAGTGTACTCTAATCTATACACACCTGTTGATATTGTCCTGGGGCCACCGTCGGACAGGCCGCTGTGTTACAGTCATTAAATTCGGACATGGCACCTACACAATCTTTTCCTCCGTTCGCGGGTGCTGGGTTGTCGCACGTGCGGGATCTGGACCACTCTCCTCCTCCGCATGTTTTAGTGCACGTTCCCCAAGAAGCCCAGTTTCCCCATGATCCATCAACTGCGAACAAAACAGAATTAGTACATAACAGTGTAGACTGGTTTTTCCTTTATTTCAAAGCTTGAATTAATCAAAAGCTTTGTTTGATGGTTTAATTGTTTAAGGAAATCAAAGTCTCAGACTCAAGAGTGCAGGAAATTAAGGATTGGACGAACTTAAATTCTATCTAAACCAAGACTTTCAAACACAGAAAAATCAACACTTACTGATGCAGACTTGAGTATTGCAGTCACGAGGTGAATCCGTGTAACTTCCCACGCAGTCTTTTCCGCCATATTGAGGGGTTGGATTTGTACACGTTCTATTTCGCCCCTGTGTTCCACCACCACACGTGACAGAGCACGTGTCCCAAGCTCCCCAGCTCGCCCACTCACCATCAACTGAAAATCGGTGAAATTTCATTTCAGTATTAAATCAACTTTAATTTTACTTAAAGTTAAACCCTGTTTTCTTGGGAAAAAGTTTTAATTTTTTGACAGCGACTTACTAGGGCATGGGTTTGTACTACAGACTTGGGGTGCGTCTTGGGCATTTCCAACGCAGTCGCTACCTCCATACTGAGGTTCTGGATTGGTACAGGTCCTGGTGCGATTTTGATTGCCTCCCCCACAAGTAGTTGAACACGTGCCCCATGACCCCCAACTACCCCACATACCGTCAACTATAAGTGTAGAAATATCATCCAATGAATATTTACTTGGAACTTTGCAATAATTACGAACAATTTCCTTAAATAAATTGATAGAGTTAATGCTCTGTATAATTGAAATTGTACTTAATGTTCACTCACTCTCTCCACAAACTATCTCCCGCTCATTTTGTGTTTCTTTCTCTCTCTCTCTCTCTCTGTCTCTCTTTCACTCTCACATACAAGTGGTTATCCAAAATTATTTTGAATGTTAAATTCAAAGCTATTCATAAGTTAAGATATTCCTCAAAAGTATATATACTTGGGCATGGTTGGGTGTTGCAGTCAGCATCTTCACTGGTGTCACCTGGACAACTAGCGCCGTTACCAAGAGGAACGGGATTGTCACACGTTCTTGTTCGTGTCTTCTTTCCGGTTCCGCAGGTTTTGGAGCATGCGCCGTATGAACCCCATGATCCCCAAGCGCCATTTTCTGTTTAGAAGTGAATGATAAACCATATTTTTTCAATCACGTATGTAAATGATATCAATTTTGACAATTAATAACCTTATTCAATTAGCATTAATTTACCAATGATTATTTTAGGCAGTGAACTGATAAACTCGATCGATGCTAATCTTCAATTAATATTAAGACAAGCTTTAAAATTTTGTTTTAATTCGAATAGCAAGAAGATTGCCCTGGCGCGTTTAGAGGGGGCACGGACCCCTTTTGTGACCAAAAATATACATGTACATAAGATAAATAAATTTTTGGTGGTGAAAATTACATTAATTATACCTAAAATATAGCTAAAATAATCAAAAAACTGTTCCAAAAAAAAAAACTCCTAAAACCCAAGAGCTTTCAGGGGTCCCCACCCGACTCCAAACTGGTTGGCCCTCTAAGAATCCTTGATCCATTACTGAATTGAAAGTTAAATCAATCAAAGGAAGGACGTTTCAATATCTTATAAGATCTTAGACGATCTTGTGAATCCTATATTATCTGTTTGGGAATAAAAAAAAATCCACTCACTGTCAGTACATCTTTGACCGAGCCAATCTCCTGTACACGTGCACGTGTAGTCCATCCCCTCGTTATAGCATGTGCCTCCATTCTGACAAGGGTTGGGGTAACAATTGTCCATCACTAAAAATAGCATTTATGTTCAATTAAATTGAAAATAAAATTTGATGCGATACTATTAACAATGATTGACACCATTTTAATGAATGTTTACAAAAGATAGAGTTAAAATGTGAAATTAATTAGGTGCATGATCATGAAGTACATTGTACATGTAATAATTTTATTGCCGATTATTTCATGATACCTTAAAATGCATTTATAGCAAATTTCTGTATTGGAAGTTCATGCGTACATTGTAAATCGAAGTTATATATATTTTTCACCCACTGCTAGAAAATAATTTCTGATCTACTTTTAACAACTTACCAACGGAAATAAGAAACAGATCAGCAATAACCATGTCTAGGAGAAAAAAGTTTTAGATTTGTAAATATCATAATCCATACATGCATTTCAACATTTATGACTCAAAAGTTATATAATTTTAAAAAGCTTTTAAAGTAAGTAGTTAATATTAAAAAAAAAAAGAATCTATTAGAAAAAAATCTTACTATCTTGTAAATCTCGCCCTGGCAGGCCGCTGTACAGGAAGTAGGGACGACTGGTTCTGCGCTCCCATGCGCACGCATCACTTTCCACCACAAGGAACCAACCAGCATCGTTCTGGCACCCACCGTAATTGTTTTGAATGAAAAAACGTCTTTGCAGAGATCCATCTCTGAATAAAAAATGTTGAGAAATTTATATTTTACTCTTGCGCTTTTACTTCAGTTTTTAAGTACTAAGCCTGGTGTCATGTTCAATTAATCGCATCTTCTCGGGTAATTCCGGCAAGCTCGGAAAAACATTTCGAATACAAGTACATGTATATTTATATCATCGGATGTTGAAATTTTATATAAAATTGAGTCGCTTCCTTTCCATTAAAGTGTTGGCTAAGTAGCGTTTTTTGTTCACTTTAAAGTATATTTTAGGTTATATCGTTGCATTAAATGAAGTTCAACTTTAGATTCTTCTCTTAAGAAGTCTCACTATATATATTTCAATGTTTATGAAAAGGGGGGTTTTCATGCATGGTCGCCAACGTAACACAAGTGACATTTGAGGATGTTTTTCCTCTTGTCGGAAAGGTCCTAGAAGTTGCGATTGGTGTCAAGTTGTCTTGTTTCAAAATACTGGTTTATTATACTCGTTTATGTACAATATTAAAAAAAATTGCTTGCTTTCTTACCCTGGGATTCCACAATAAGACACCGCTTTTAGGCGGGTCAGGTCACTGTACGCTGAATACAGAATTCTACTACAGTCAAACCAGCTGTTTTTGTCAGAAACGCCGTGCGCATCAAACACCGCGTAAGCTGTTTCTTTACCCTTTGAGTAATAACTCACTCGCACCTGATAAAGGGAAAAATTATTTAAATCACATGCTAAACCACGTCATAAAGATACAAACCTAAATATATGAACACAATCACAGATGTCCTTTTTGAGATATTATTTCTTAAAGGTGCTTAAAAAAATATTTTGTTTTCAAAATGCAGCATACTGTCTTAGAATTTACTCTTACCGCGGAGATCTGATAGTCTCCCCAGTTGTCCACAACACTGGACTTGTATGTCTTTGTCCCTGTGCCAATGGTCAGAGCGTCCGTGTCAAATTCGTTCAGAGTGTAAGTTCCGGACCACAAGTCGTATACGGAAGTCGCCGGTGCAATTGACACTGTATGGGCAATCTTCATCACCATGCGCCAACCTGGGATTTAAAAATTTTGGGTTTATACAGAACCAACATATTAAGGGAAATACGCTTGACTCTAAATTTAATCATTAGGAAGTAATTGGTACTTAAAAATCAATTAAGTAAAAGACATTTTTTATTACCTTTTACAAAAATCGCCATGGTCTCAGCTGCAGGAAACTCGGCTTGATTCCAAGCATTATCTGAAAATAAGACATTTTATATAGATGTCTATAGAAACCAGTATTGTGATTATCTGAAGCACCTTGGCTTATCAAAGAATGACCCAAAATTTTATTGTTAAACTTAACACAACTATACATCATATATGTGCTCTGAACATAACTTACTAGCTTGACAAAGTGCCCAGGTTTTCTTGTTACTGTACAGGAAATAGGGTCTAGGTCTGACATTTTGATCCCAGGAACAAGGCGTGGAAGAATCCGAGGAGTCTAGAATGTTCATCCAAGCCTTGTCATTCGGACATCCTCCGTGTTCCTTGTGAACACAGAATCGTCGAGTACCATCACTTTAAAATGGAAAAAAGATATTCAGATATGCTTTCCTCAAAAAACAATTTTTTTCTTGGAGAATTTCTAATTGTGCAGAACTTTTTTTTTCTAAATCGATCCCTTACCCATCAATGCTTGACCCGACCTTTGTGTACCCAATGATATCGGTCCAATAAGAGTAAAGAATTCTATCGTCGTTGAACCAACCATTCTTGTCGGCGTCACGTCCATCGAAAATAATAAAGGCGACCTCGACACCGTTTGTAAAGTAAGCGTATTTCACCTGAAATATTGATATTGGCATAGGAAAATTATACCTATATACTCTACATGTATACATTTCCAACTGCTGTATCCTTCCCCACAACAATCTTAAACCTGCTTAATTAGAAGTCTATTACTCATATATTTTGCGATACAGGCTCATACATGAAAATTTTGTTTGGTGATATCAATAATTTCAACAATATATAAATATTTTCGAGTATAAACATTGGGTCCTTACCCCTACCCAGTACCACAATTGTCTGAAACCTCCTTAATAAAAGCACCTCACTAAGATTCTTACACTTTCGATGAAAAATCCAGGAATACTTCTCCAAGTCTCCACATTTTTAGACTTGTACACCAGGTTTGGAGCCTTTGTGAGGGTCTGAGCGGAGGGGTTGTCACTGTTCAGGGTGTCGGAGGAGTACCACAGCTGTCTCAGGCCTCCCTGAGGCGGAACCACACCCTCTACCGCCTTAAACACCATGTCCCAGGCTGTTCAAATTTAATTCATTTGCGTTTACTAAATACATGTTAGTATAACGATTTTTTAACAAAGAATAATTAATATAAAATATAAGAAACATTTGGTGTTCTAAAGAAATCTTCAAGTAAAACATTTTAGGTTAAACATATTTAAGTCATCTTCAAGACCGCAGGTGTCCGGACTCCACTTGTGGTCGTCCCACGATCACGAGTGGACTCAGGACCCCTGACGTTGAGAGGATTGGTTTACAGAGGAAATTCACATGACAAAATATGTTTATTTCAAACAGAAGAAAAACTCAAAGAATATTATTTAAAAAAATTCAAAATATCACGGATCTAATTCATTTTCCCCATTCCCGACTACATTAATTGTTACATACCCATAACAGAAACGACCATAGCATCAGCAGTGCCTTTATTTCCTGGAGAGAAAGAGAAAATAAATCAAAACTGAAATCATAATATCAATAAATATTTTCATATAAATTGACCGCCTTAAAAAAGCCGCCACTCTCCCCTTAATAAAAGAACTTTTACATTTATAAAATATGTACATAAATATTAATATTTTTGTGATATTGAAAACTATAACTGAAGTTTTAAATTATATGACTGAAATGATTATGGACAATCCTTGCTTTGAATTAGATGAAGTGCGCATACAAGAAGTTTTTTCTTCATATGCGTCGGAACCGGGGGGGGGGGGTGCAAAGATAGACATAATATAATCATCAAAATGAAAAGTTATCGGAGAAATATATTTATTACAAGTATACCTGAGCTCCAGTTTTCCTTCGTTGTTGATGCGGAGTAGAAAAAGTAAGGAGATCCCGCCATAACGTCCCATTCTGTACATTCTGATGTTGCGTCATAATCTTTCAGCATGAACCAACCAGTATCCGAGCTGCAGCCGCCATATTGGTGATTGATGAAGAAGGTACGCCTTCCGGTGTTTGGGCTAGCAATATGTTTCTTGTTTTATTATGAGAGTATAGGAGAAAAATATACAGACAAAAAGATGCAAATTTTCTTATTTTAAAATGAAAAGGCGCTAGCCTAACACATTGCACATGGTGGAATATAACTGCTTGATCTTGCTTGAATCGCTTGCATAAGTTCACACTAAAAATAATGCCAGTTGAACTTTAGTATCTCAAACTCGATATCTCGAATTCCATGGATATGTCAAAATGCGAATCAAAGTTTCTCTAGGTCCCTTTGAGTTCGAAATAACGAAGCTTTACTGTAATTTTAGGCTCTTGAATGAATTTTTATAAATTAATATTCGTGATTATTCTTAATGAATCTCATACATCGTTTCACAAATTCTGTAATTAGCTAATTTCAGGTTCTTAATTTGAATTTTTAAAAATTATCAATAAGTTACATGTATTTCAATGACGTTACATACTTCATTTCGCAGTAGTTTTTGGTCGCTGTCGTAATATCTGTGTAACTGGAGTCGATAATTCGTCCGCAGTCTAGCCATTCGTTCTTACTTTTTCCCATACTGTCGAACACCACGTAAGCTACCTCTTTATTTCCTTTGTAAGCTGAGAGACGGACCTGATTGAAAAGAAAAGAAAAAGTATTTCCTTGAACGCGATTTTTATTATCATTGAAAATAAATACAAAATACTTGAGATCACCTCAACATCCTGGTACACAAACATATAAAATTTTACATAAGAATCCACACAAAAAGTCTATAATTACCGTGAAATCACTTATTTTCATGGGGGGTGGGTTAATTTTCATTGTTTTCATGGTATGGTTTTAGAGACCCACGAATTCTTATCCTCAACGAAATGTAAAATTAGGAAATCCATTTCCTGAGATTTTTCATCAAACAACGAAAATTTCACCCCTGGGCCACTAGTTTAAAATGAGTGATTTTACAGTAAAGGGAAATGCATGAAAAAGAATGAAGTTAAATACAGAATAAAATTTGGAAAGTATTTTGTGTAATTGCGAAAACATATGTGCTTGAGGGGAAAAACCCTTTTTAAAAATAGAATTATGTCTTTTAAGGTCTGAGTTATGTTTTTGATTATCGAAATAATGGAGAGAGAAAGAGGAACATGTACGTACAGCTGAAAAACTTCGACTCTGCCAGTCGTCCAACCATTTAGATTTATAGATTTTGCTACTGGCGCTAAAATCTCTCATTGCCGACACATCTTCCCCGTTATAAGAGCCGCTGGCCGTCCAGAAGGCGTTAACACTACTGAATCCCGTGGGCCGAGCTCCTTTAGGGAGCTTAAACACCACATTCCAAGCTGAAAAAAATCCCCATAATTGATGATATCGACTTTTCTTGCAAGTAAAAAAATCATATTTATTTTTTTCAAGATTTATCATAAAACATGACAGGAATTTACTAGGAATCTTAAGGCGGTACCATCAGTATTTCTTTGCACCATAGTTTGGTAGTATTCGTAATTATAAGCTTCATTTTGAAGCACATGAAAGTCTACGCCAAAATATGACTACTTTTTAATGAGCACTTATACAGTAATTTGTATAAATTTGTATATGTATACTGTATCCTCCTACGCCTTGCAAGTAACCTGACTTCCTTCTTTTAAGATTGGACATTTTACCTTTGAGGGGGAAAAAGTAATGTAGACATATAAAAGAATAATTGAAACAATAAAATTAATTTTGTTCAAATCGAGTGCACATAATTTGCTTTGAATATAAATTGTGATATTTTGGAAAACATTTATTAAATAGATATTTATGAATATATGATCAATGTTTGCGACACTCCATAAAAAAATATCTCAAACGTTTATCTTTATTTCAAAATTAAATGTTCATTGGGTTTTCGTTTTTCAAGATTTAATCTCAATAATTTTAATCTTGAGTGTAAGAATTTACATACGCCCTCTATGGTTGTCGAAGAGTTGACCTATTGCTGACCCGATGACGCAAACAACTAGAAACAGCAACACTGTCGACTGGACAGCCTAAAAATGAACAAGTACACGAATGAATGAATGAATGAATGAATGAATGAATAAATAAATAAATAAATAAATAAATAAATTATTAAATTGATCAATTAGCTAATTAATAATTATATACATGTAATTAAAATTAACGTGCAACTTTATTCATGAAAAAAGGATTTGCTTGATTGGATTTCGTATTATTACAGTATATTATAAAACATTAAACAAAATCCATATAAATATTTCCAATATTATAAATAAATAAATTTTAGAAATCCCAACTATCCTTCTATCAAAGTCAGTAAAATTTCTTATTTTCTTACCATGGCTGTAAGTTTTGAAAACCAGCAGCAAAAACTTTTCTTTTTGTAGGTGCGGGTGATAATGACTGAATATATTTAAAATGATCGTTTTATAAATGTGTTAACTATTTTGTTGTTTTTATGGCTTAACTCTTGTAAAACACGACACAAAACAATTGAGAAAAGTATATCATGATTACTTTGCTAACAACACACACAATGAAAATAATGACACATGTTATTATCAACTACAATAATTTCCAAACTTCGTTGATCTTTATTAAATGCTAGGTATCTGTTTTACACTCAAAATTTACTTTTTTTTTTTTTTACATCCGGGTATTTTTTTTTTCAAGTACACAAATTGAATGACAGTTGGTTTTGACAAAAATGTTTTGTTCATTCATTTAGTGTATTTATACAAAAAGCTTCAACTTGTCAAAAAAATTCAAACATTGGATTATTATTTATTCTGAAGAAATGTCAATGAGGGTTCATTTATCTTCCTAATTTTTGTTCGAAAGAGCATTACCCTTATTATTGTGTTTACTTGAAGTGAACAGAATCTACATATTTAAGATACCCCTCTTTTATCGACTTTCCATTTTCATATGGAATTTGAAACAAAGACGAAGGAATTTTAAAGTCCCCCCCCCCCACTTTTAATCTATAATTTTGATAAATACGCCTTAAACTTTACACCTTTTAACTGATTAACTTTTCTTCATTGATTTTGGCGAAAGGTAATGAATATATATAGATACAGGAGAATAAAAAACGTTCATGCGAAGATTTTTTTTTTTAGAATAATCAGTTCATGATGTTCGTTCAGATATACATATGTACAATAATTGCTTAAATTTTCAGCTGTTTCAGAAATTATTCTGAAAATTTTGAGAATTTTACTGAAATATTTTAATCATCTTCCACTGTGATATTTAATACAATATTAATGATTTTATGTATTTTCTCGCTTATTTTCTATCTCATACAATGTACATGTATGAACTATCTTCTATGAAAGTAAAATATTGCACATACTTTATTTTTGGTTCATATATTTCAACTTTGTAAAAAAAAAAATATATTGAACATTTTAATCCTTCTAGATCTATAAGACCAATTGTACGTGTTGTGGTTAATTTTGCAGCTATTTTCACGAAACAGATGCATTTTTTTTTTCAGCTCGAAAGAAATGTATATACATTTAACTGTATAACATACAACACAATGTACCGATTCTCCAAAAATTACAGATCAACTGATACAATTTACAAAGATTTAAAGCTCCCAAATACAATTAACAAAAGTAAAAAAAAAAAAGAAAGAAAGAAAAGCAATTGCAATAACCAATAAATATATACATAAATAAATAAATAAAATAAATTAATGAATAAAAAATAAATAAATAAATAAAAAATAAATAAACAAATAATAATAACAAAAAATTGATAATAAAACTAACAATATCAGTCATAAACTGCAATGTCTCTTTCATTTATAAACGTCTTCATATGTTCTGTAGTCGGTAAGTATATCTTTGCTGCAGCCTAGTTTACGGCACAATGAACTTGTCCTATTGCCCTAATATGGATCAAGATCTACTAAAGACAACTGACCTTTAAAGCTGGTTTTAATTTATAAGTATTTCTTTAGGAATTATTCTGGCTCTCGACCAGTTCTTTAACATTGTCGATTCTCCGAAAGGTCACTAAATCGGCGATGTTTTGTAACTATATAGAACACAAATACTTTCAAAAACAGTTTTCTTCAACAGTACAGTTTTCATTGTGGGTTTCAAAGTTTTCTTAATAATATATAAATTACATTATATTTAAAAAGGGCTCAGATTGATACCTGTATTTTATCTTAAAAAATACAAGATTATATCATAGTATGTTCTTTTTCTTCTACCCCATACTAAAAATGTAAGAAGGAGATCATATCCATTCGAATAATCAAAAACTCACATCTATCGATCGTTTTGAAATGTGCAAGTTAAAAATTATTAAGTCTGAGAATGCTAGGCATTGGTGATGAAAATATAATTAAAAGGTCTTTAACTCTAGAATGAAAATATTTGTACCGCTTTTTATTCTTGATAAGCAGATTATAGATTAAAAGTGTATTGATTCCTTGACCTAAACTCTGTTTAATAAATGCCAAAACAAGGTTTGAATGTATTTGATCAATTTTACAAAATCATTGCTTTGATGTTGCGAAATTAGGCACCATTCCGTCTTAGTAATACTTAAAGAGAGAGAGCAATAACCATCTAATTCCAGTTTTAAGAAAACGTGAAATCATAAAAAGACTTCTAAACTTTAAAAAAAAAAGTATAATTGCTTACAATGTAACAAAGGACAAACAAATATGCTGTATAAATTTTATTCACTTAATTAATACTTTTGAAAAGGGAAAAGAAACAAATTCGACTATTCAAATTTAAAGTACTAGAAACTTCACTCCTCCCATACTTAGAGCCCCCCCCCCCCTCCCCACCAAACCCTTTATCCACGTCTGAGGCGTCAGTACATGTCCATTGAACTTCGAATTTAGTATTGTCACTATATGTGAAAGTACTTTTCAAAAGCTTGCTTTAAGAATTTAATAATGTATATACCTAATATATTTAATGTTAGGTCAAATAGCATAAAAAAAAAATGGAAGTTGGCCCTACATATTTTGATTGGCACTTGATATATTAAACTTCTCACCTGTTAGGGATATTTAAAAATTTAACTTTGTCTTAACCCACAATTTAAATTAGAACATCTTGAAATAGTTTAAAAGTAGAAGAAACGTTTTAGATTTAGAACTGGTTAAAAGGTAGTTACAAAAGTGATTGTGAAAGTATTCAATGCTTTGAACATTAAAAGAATGACATTTTCTTCATTTTTTAAATGTGTTCAAGACCTTTAACTAATTTGAAAAAAAAAATAAAATGAAATAAAAAATAATTAAATGAAAAGAATTGACCGCAACTTTAAAAAATGCAACAAATATCATCTGTGCGTACCTGAACTTCTACGCAAGTGAGAAGGATCCCCCCCCCCCCCCCAGGATATATTTTCTCCTTTTGTACTTGGTAGAGATATATTAATACAAGTTCCTCCAGAATTGTGAAGTTAGCGTACTTTTTTCACAGGGTCATAAATCCGCACAGTAATAATTATTTCTGTTCAGTCCGCTGGTAGAAAATTACGCGGATTTCTTAGATTGCCTCTTTATGCCTTAAATGTATTTTAAGTACGTTGAGACAAATTTCCGCGGAAAATTTGTAAAAGGTGGATAAAAAATGACTATGACATTAAGAAGAATCAGTTGTTAGTATATATTTTCTTTTCTGTACTAGTCACGTGAAACAAAATCAACACTTTTATTTTCTATAAACAGCCATGAAATAGCAAAAACGTAAGTACGGTGGCGTTTCCGGTTGGCGGATCTAAGTTTCTGGCAATTTTCAATAAAACCACAGGAGTTCGCATACCTATCAATTTTACCGAAATTTTCAGAGGTGTGTTATTATTATAGGTATTACGTATTTTTTATATTTACTGAAAATTTCGGTAAAACTGATAGGTATGCGAACTCCTGTGATAAAACTGACAACAAGCAATCGTTTATTTATTTCACTGAATTATTCAAACAAAACTTGGTTTAAATGACATAAAAGAAATAATTTGTGATAACCGATTAAAAAGGGAAAAGTGCAAATTATTTTTGTCATTCTCCGACCTTAATATTGACGGAAGCTTCTAGAACCTCATATAGCATCGAGCCCGAGCCCGATGTTAAAAAGAAAAACGAGACGATTGTAGCTGCAGGAACATAAAAAAAAGCTTTTGTGTGAATGGTCATTGAAATAACGGTAAATCATTGATAACACTATAAGTTGTGAATATATTTAGACATCGAAAGACTATTGCATATATGTAGTAGGTTTTCCTAATAAATATATTGGTAAAATGTGTATATATCCCTTACTAAGAGCATCGTGGCAACGAACCCGAAGTACAATTTCTACTTCGTAATACACTTGCTTACTTGAAAAGAGAAAAATAATGAATAAGATATTGTTCAAACACAATTAAAGCTGTAAAATTTTGTGCTTTAATCAATACATTTCAGTTTTAATGTCTAAATACAGTCTTTTGTATCAAGTATTCGGCCTATTCATAGGGCGTTAAAAGCTAAATTTTACACAGATACTTGCGTCTTGGTTTATATATATATATATATATATATATATATATATATATATATATATATATATATATATATATATATATATATATATATATACTTTATTGATATGTAAAAAATAAAGCACATTTTT